TTCGTGATTTTCTGATGAATCGACGCCGATTTTGTGGTATGTGAGACTTACCAGCCGTCGGAATCATGAGTTGGATAGACGGTTAAGACCATCGGCGAATGGAGTCAAATCGAATCGTAGATTGGCGATGGAGAAGAAGGATTCGTTGAAGGATGGTCCAACTTCTTGTTCCAGGTATGAATCTAGCCCCTTTCCCCTGTGTATCATGACTTAATTCGTTTTATTTTGTGGTTCTTGATCCAAATTAGGGTTTTGATTTGTAAGTTAGGGTTTTTTGTTTTTAGCGACAAAATGGTGTTTAATAATCAATTTGGAGGCTTTGTGTTTGAAAATTTTCCATGATTGTTGACGAATTTGTCATAGATAGTTAGATTTAGGGTTCATAGTTTCGGGGAAAAAAATTATAGTTTGGTTTTGTCATTTGAATGGAATTGGAGGTGAAAGATTGCATGAAAAGATGACAAACTTCGTGTCGAAGAACAAAGCTGCGCAATTGAAACACAGTTCAAAGTAGTTACCAGTTTTGTTTTAATTTCATGTTTCAAGTTATCCACTAGAACTTTGCTGATTAATTTTTTTATTTCTTGTATGCAGAGACTTTGGTGACCTTTCATGGAACAAGGTCTAAGAGATCTCGGGCAGCTCGAGCAGGACCTCACTGCAGATGTGTGTATGACTCATGTAATTTTGTATTTTATGTGTAGACACCACGAGACTATGAATTTGTATTTGTGATTGTGAACCACATAAGTTGCTATATATTATTTGTTCTCTTATTTGTGATTGTGAACCAACATTGCTATATATTACAAGACAATGCTTATTATTTCACCACCGAACAATTGTTCTTCTTATTGTTGTTCTTCTTCGGAAAAACGGTCTATTTTCCCACGAGAACTACGACATCATAACAGATAGAGCCCAAACTTTAACCCCGGTCCATATGTCCATGAAATCAAAGTTTTATTCTTATTTCCCCTCCAATTAAAAGTTCCATAGCTTAATGTCACCGAGTCAATAGTTCGAGAACTAAAACCCCACGGTTCTGGGTTAAATCGGTTTACAAACTAAACCTGATAAAAAACCAAACAAACTCAATATAACCGAAATTAAACCCGACCCAATCTAAAACCCAACCATAAATCACCCAATTTCTTCTTCTTCTTCACCGAACCACTTTAATGGCTTCACCACTTCTTCTTCTTCACCAAACCACTTGAATGGCTTCACCACTTCTTCTTCTTCACCAAACCACTCGAATGGCTTCACCACTTCTTCTTCTTCATTAAGTCACCAAATCACCAATATGTTTAAAACACCAAATCACCAGCTCCAAAGCCAAATTTAATTAACCTCCATTGACGCACATTATCAGGATCTGCCTCTTTGCTCCTCTCTGCTCAGCCCAAGCATATTGATTTAGGTATGAGCATCGTCTTTCTCTTTTATATTTCAGCCACGAAGACGACGTCGACTAGCTCTTGACTCCCATGCCTCGCGTCGTTGATAACAGAGGATTCTCCATGAACTGGTCCATTAGATTCAGACCTTGGCTAATGATTTCGTCACATTTGCAGTGCAATGGACATAATTCTGGACGATAACTGAAACAATTAAGCTGGAAATTCTCAAAAAAATCTCAAATCTAAGATCGTAATGATGATGTTCATCATCGAGCTTGCTCCTAAAACTGAAGTCAAATTTAATCAATCTTAGTTCCATATGAAATAAGATTACGTGAGAAAATAACAAATTGGATTCCATTGCAATTAAGGACTCTTCCTCCTGCCACAGATTAAACGAATTGGATTCTTGTTTCTAGGGTTCTTCAAGATAAATTGTTCTTCAAACGAATCTGATTTTGGGGATATGGGTTTGGTTTTACTTCTAACCGGGTCGTTATCGGATTTAATACGGTTTAGTATTTTTGTTAGGTGGTTAAATAAACAGTAAACCAAACAAAACCGATGACAATGGGTAATTTAGATGAGAACTAATATTCCGAGGAGATATAGGATGAAATCTATTGTTTCAGAGAGACATAGATTGATAAGTATTTTTTCGGGGACATATGGGTCGTGGTCATAGATTGGGCTCTATCTGTTATGATGTCATAATTCTCGTGGGGAAATAGACCGTTTTTCCTTCTTCTTCTTCTATTATTACAACAAAACCACAAAACACTTGCCTTCTTCTTATTATTGTTCTTCTTATATTATTACAACACAAACAACATTAGAGTATGAAAATTTTCTTGCATATCTTTTTAAAAATGTTTGAAATAATGTATGTTTAATATTTTTATGAATTGTAATAGTTATTAAGTTTTATGAAATAATATTTCTAATAATTTTTTTTTCTTAAGAAAACCTCACTAGAGAACCTACCATTGGAGTATGAAAAATTAAAAAAAAATTCAAAAGTTCTCATCTCAAATTTTCAACAAATTTATAATTAAAAAATTGAGAGAACTTCATGGAGACAACTCCCCATTGGAGATGCTCTAATGTCTGTCTCTTTTATTGACATACACATTTTCTCATACACAGTTATTATCTCATTTTTACGATTTATATCCAACCAGATTAAGCTGGTATAACTCTGGCATGGTTAATGATCGAGAATCAAATATAAAATTGATAACATGTATGTATACTCGAAAAAATCCAGAGCTTTGTGTATGAATTCTTATATATGCATATGCATAGCGAGCTATGAATCATATGGTTGGTATAAACTTTAATCAAAGTTAATACAATTATTGTCACATAAAGTAAGCAATTTTTAAGTCTCATATTTTAAATATGTCTTCTACATATATAGACAAGACATATAGTACAATAAAACACTTATCATCAGTATAACTATAAACTAAGCAGTTACTCCATGATAGAAAATTTAAAATAGGGCTAGTAGCAACCTAAATCTTTATAATATCTATATTTTAGACATAACATGTAGTACAGTATTTTTTGTTAGTATCATTGATATGCCGTCATTCGAGTTATTCAAATTTGCATAATCTACATATTGTTATATATATGTGTATACATATATATTTATGGTTCTTATTAAGAAATGCCTAAAATGTCATTGATCTTTACCATTCGTTGGTAAAAAGTTGTTGTTCTCACGTTCGTACAACTTTTTCAAATGTATAAAATAAAAAGTTTCTAAATTATTTGCATTAAAAATGTAAGAACAAAAACTTAAAATAAATAAATCAAAACATCATTTTTTAAAACCGGAGAAAACATGTTTAAATATTTTGAAATTTTCATGATAAGATATTGAGTGATACAAAAGTTATAAAAATTGTGAACACTATACAGTATAGTTATATCTAGCCAACAGTGCTATATATACGCATTAATCGTTAATTCTACAGATGCTTACTTAAGCTGGACAAGGCAATTAATATGGTTAGGGTAGATTATTACTATGATTAATAATTTAAGTTTTTAATTAAAGGAAAAATAAGAGGAAGACGACAGAGAAGAAAATGGGTGTCATTATGTGAGAATTTCAAAATTTTCAGTGCGATTTGTTTTATTAGTCCGTCGTTGGCAGCTTCCATTCTTCTATTCTTCCATTTTGTTTTTGTAAATCTCTAAATTCTAAAGATTCCTCCTATTTTTAAAGCAAACAATTATTTTTATATTAGTAGCATGACAAGTGATTAAGATACGCATATCCTAGTGACTAGTAGACAATTTTTCTATATTATATTTATATTGTGTATATATTGAGAGAGTGTTAGTTGAGTTGATTTTATGAATTAAATTATGTTAACTCCTGAACCAGAAAGCAGCCAACTATATCTTGCAGTAGTGCAGAAACATAATATTGAGCATTGACAGACACAATTTGTGAAGTTAGATAGCTTTTATCACCTGCTCACTGATACAATGTTTTGTGAAAACACATCAGCTAGTCAGTAGTCAGATTGCATCAAACTTTCGGTTCCATCATCCATGAGAGGACAAAATAAATTGAGCTAGACTTTCATTTTGGTCAAAACAAAGTTAGGGATTAGTTTTTATCAAAAAAAAAAAAAAAAGTTAAGGATTATAGTTACATTAAACTAGCTTATACATAAATATAAAATTTAAATTTTCGTAGTTAAAAATAGTATTCATCTTCACTATTTTCAACACTTTTTCTCTCATCTTCGGATCTGTTATTCTTATGATATTTTGGTGTATTAGTTAAAAGTTACTAATTAACAAGCTACCATTGACCAATGATTGATTCAAAGACGACAACAAATTATGATTCTTGCTAAATTCAATGGTATAGAAAATCAGAAATACATCAAGGACGAATAATTTGTTTTAGTTCACTAGCTTAAATTATGACAAGTAGAATACTTCGCATTTTTATAAATATCAATCAAAAATATAAATAGATATGCGCATCTTTAGAAAACGGTATTTTTTTTTTGTATTGAATATATTTTGTTTTGCTCAAAAAAAAAAAAAGAATATATTTTGTATGATAGTGTTTAAACTTACATTGATTTCGAAATATTTTTGTCATCGACTAAGAGATCCAGATATCATAATTGACTTGAATAGACATTACATGTGAAATTCTATTGTTGAGATAAAAACAAATAGAGTTACAAAGTTGACGTAATTTTAAAAAATGTTATTCGTGTTCTTTTGTGATCCATTTATGATATAAGGACAAGAATCACAAGACTGTACCAAAATAAAAACAATAAAACCCGGCTGTCAATTTTCTTCCTTTTACATTTATTTCCGTCTTGTTTCTCTGCATTACCTTACATAATAAAATCAAAAATCAAAATTTTCATTCTTATAATACTTTTGAAAAACTTAAAATCAAGAAGTCAAAAGTGATATGAAGGAATGCTCACATCGTAGAATCATCTTAAATAAATCAATAACAAAAATTACTGTTGTAAAAATAAAACTATTTGTAAAAAAACTAAGTTGTTTGCAAAAATTTGGACCAAAGATTTTTATTTTTTTTTGCAAATCATTTACCAACTTGCATCTTTAACAAAAAAAATTAATATATATGAAAGTAAAATAAAACTATTTCCTTTCCATTTTTGATACAACTAACTAACAACACAAAAGGAAAAAAAAAAACACAATACCAATAAAAGACAGAATTACCCATTTTAAATATGAACTTTTATTTTAAAATAAAAGGTAATATCGTAATTTACACTCCCAAGTTCCGACGTACACTTTTAATATTCATCATCATCATCGCGCCATGTTACTTTCTTCTTCTGCTTCTGTTTCTTTTCCAAGTTTTTAAAGAGAGAGGGAAAGAAACAAAAAAAACAGAGAGCTTTGGTTCCGGATCTTGATTATGGCAAGCGGGTGGGTCAAATCGTTACAATGCAAATCTAAAGCTTTCGATGATGTTTACAATCCGATTAAAAACCCTAACCCGAATCCGAACCCGAGTCCGAAACATCTCATGTCAAGTTACAGTTGCAGAAGAAGCACACAGAGTCTCAAAGATGTGATCGAAACCAAAAAAACCAAACCAAAACCGAAGAAACCCAAATCAAAACCCGATAAACGAGAACCCGACCCGGTTTTATCTCCTTCAACCCGGATCCGATCAACCGGAGCTCGTGATCGTGACCCGTTTCTACCGACGTTAACGGAGCTCGCGGAAGGTCATCAGTCGCGTAATGTGGTGGAGATTATTTTCCAGACGAGTTGGGGTCCGAAACCGTTTTCGGGTCGGGTAGAAATGATTTTCAAAGTGCAAAACGGGTCTAAGACTTTGACCCGGTTCGAGGAGTATCGTGAAGCTGTGAAAGCTAGGAGCGTGGGGAAAGCACGTGAAGAGAACGCGCGTTCCGTAGCCGACGGGAACGAGACGATGAGGTTTTACTGTTTGGGTCCGAGTTACGGCGGCGGTGGAGGCGCGTGGGGTATTTTAGGAGGAAAAGGCGTTGGCGCGTCGATTTACACGTTCGCCGGAAGTAGTATGGCAAATGAGAAGGCCGGCGGTGGGAAAGGGAGGAAGGCAATGTTGGTTTGTCGGGTGATAGCGGGTCGGGTCACGAAGCAAAACGAGTTAAGGTATGACTCGGATTTGAGGTCACGGTTTGACTCAGTGAGTGGTGACGACGGCGAGTTGCTCGTGTTTGATACACGTGCGGTGTTGCCTTGTTTTCTCATAATCTACCGTTTGTAAAAATTCCCAAAAAAAAAAAAAAACTTATTTTATTTTATTTTTATTTCTAACTTTTGACATTGTAATTTCATTTATCAACACAATTTTCCCCTAATGTTTAGGGATTTTTTATATATTTCCAATGTATAATTGGTAGAAAATTGTGTTGATAAATGGTAATTAATTCTGTAATCGGGATCTCTTTAATAATTAATCAATGCAGTTAAGTGTTAAAAAAAAATGTTAATTAATTTTGTTGACAAGAAAAAATGGTAATTAGTAGATTTTCTTTCTTTCTTTCCCAACTAGTAAAAGATTTTCTTATTAAATGCGGCCGTAAATACTGAATATTTTGTTGCGTTGGCTTTTACAATGCCATTAATAGATTTTATTACATAGTCAATTGTTAGTATTAATTTTTTACGGTTGGGTTTTGATTCTTACATTCAATTTCGTTCCATCTATGGTAAAATATTTGATTCACTAAAATCTCTTTACGTTACTTACACGACTACTTCCTTAAAGTGAAAGCTATAATCGGAAAATTTCAAATTTTGTAGCTTTTTGTTAATATAAATTAAATAATTTCAAAATTTTAACTGAGAGATGAGAGTAGTCCAAAAGAAAGAATAATCAGTGCAAAGTGATTCCCAATAAAAAAAAGCATTTGTAAAAGATGTAAAGTGAAAAAAAAAAAAAAGAGAGACCAAAAGAGTAAAAATTGAAAATGAAATCATGAAACTATGAAGTACATTGGATGCGAAATTGAAGAAATAGCAGAAGCATAATCTTTAGGCCTGTTGATGCCAAAAACAATAATCTTTAGGCCTGTTAGGCCCATTTAGGCCCATGAAATAATTTACGGAATCATCCTAACGAATCTTTAAAGAATTTTAAATAACCAACTAATCTTTGAAGATCATAGACTCAAAAAGTTCCTCTAACTTCAATCAATCATTTTGATAACTGCTATGTGTTAAAGCTAAACAAATGGAGCTAGAGCAATGTCTATAAAACCGCAAACACCGGGAATTTTGTCATCCGGATTGTCTCCTCATTTTACCTACATACCTTTGAGTCAAACCTTTGTTGTTTCTCCGGTTTGGTCTACATTTTCCATCTTTAGTATTCTTCCCCTGCATCTTCTTGTAATCTCTCGATCTCAAAATAGTCTCTAAGAGGTTTATATCTTCTCGGATCTCATGTCTAGAGAGCGATACAAGTTCCAGGAGTATCTCTTTTTGGAAATTCTTCATTCTCCTCCCTCTTCTCAGCTTGACTCCAAACTCTTTCTTGTTACTGAAGTTATCTATGGCCTTTGATGATACACAACAGAGCTCTTCAGGGATAGTTTCTCTTATTCCTAAAGTGTGTAGCTCAAATGAATCGCAAGATCGACCCGGTTCTTGGACACCCATCTTGTGATTATTAAGAATTTCTTGATCCTGACTTTGATTGAGAGTAACCGCTGAAATGTGGACTAAACATTCAGCTGCCATTTGAATTACTTCACACGAATCTTCACCTTCAATCTTTGAACTGTTTTCTGCGGTGCAACATGAAGCTGGAGATGCTGCCCAATCTTTTTCATGGACACCATTTAAACCGCATTGATAGTCATTGGAAACCGGCTCATAAGCCGGGGATTTATTAAGATCCAGCAAACCTGATCCATCTGAGATATTCACTTTCTCACTTTTCTTGCCAAACATATTTGTGCCATATGCTTCAATCCATATGGTATCTTGGGAACAACCAATGCTGTGGAATTCTCGGCATTCGACGCTTTCATGATTTTCGAGAAGTAAAAGATCACAATCTTTCATCAGTGGATTAAGGCAGTTTCTATTCACCTGCTCAATACCCGAAACAAAGCTTTCGCCTTTCGCGGTATACACCTGAAAATGAAAGCTGATGAACATGTATTTTTGCTATTTTAAATTAAGAACAAAAGCAACAAGCATCAAAGGGAACAAAAAGATTAAAAATATTATATGGTATTCAATTTTCTTTAAGAAACTGATCAAATACGAGTTTAAAATCTTTACCTGCTGCCCAAAAAGAGTTACCATTCTGATTTGATTCTTCTTAGAACTTTCTTCATACGATTCAAAACGTTTCTTACACGAAATATCGTCGTTGGACAAACCGTGGAGATACATTACAACACTTCTTGTCTTATTTACTCCATGGCACGCCCCTCTATCAAATGCAATCAAAGATGGATACTCAAAACATCAACTAAATCGTAAGAATTGTGACAATGCCACATAAATTCAAACAGAGAATCAAGCTTAAACCCGAGATTCGGTCCTTTACAGATTCCAAATGACTTAATTTACAAAAGAAAACTAGCTATTAAAATGCATACACATAATCTTTAGCTGCATAACTTCTAACATGAAAAATATAAATAACTATGAATGGTGTTGAACAGAACCAATATCAAAAAATTATAATCAAATAACAATTTTGACGAAGACTTATTATCAGGTGATTTTAGAAGTAACCAAAACCATCAATCATTGTTGAAAAGTCTATTTACTCAGATTTTCAAAGGTTCTCAATCCAAAAATCTTTGCAAAACCTTCCTCATTGATCATTCACATAGATTGACAGAGAGATTTAATTTTTCTTATTATGCCTCTATGCTAAACATGCAACTTTCATGACACTAACAAAACAAAATGATTTTGATCATTAAGTAGTAATTTTATCGGAGATTTCTATGATGATTAACCACAAATATCCACAAAAGAAGTAATCTTAGAAAGACAAGAGATTCATGGTTAGAGATGTAATCAACACATATGTATCAGACTCAGGTCTATATGTATAGGTTATACGAGTTACAGAAGAAATCTTACCATCAGGAGCGAGAAGTGATTCTCTTTATTTTTTTTAGAGAGAGAGAGATTGAGGATTAGTGGTTATTTTTGTGTTAGTGGGCAAATTTAGCAAATATTTTTTTATGTTAGATATGTAATATGTTCACTTCGATCGTTTCTATCCTTTTTCATTTTTTATAACTCGAAGATATACTGGCGAAAAAAAAAAAAAAACTCAAAGACATACTTCAATAGTTCAATTGATCAATTCATAAGAATACGAACCATACAATGGTTTCTCCATTTCGGTCAATGCTATAAGCAAAACACTTTCTTATTTCTATTAAAACAAAAATATTTTAGGTTGTAGATTCCTAGATTTGTATTTCCATAATTCAGTTGTTTTTTCTTGTTCACACTGATTATATATTCCCTTCTGTAATTGGACTCAGAGAAAACTTGAATTATTTATATTAAATTTTGGAAATTTAGGTAGAGCGAGCAAATGGTTATGGTAACAAAGAAATCTAATTACCAAATAATAGATTTTTATAACCTATATATAAGGCAAGAAGTGAGGCCGGTTTATGGGCTCTGCTGACGGCACAAGGCCAAATGTTTTTCTTCTTATCAACTTCATTAGCTTATAAAGGCCTCAAATTTATATTTTATTTTCACAAGGCCCATTCAAAATGCTTATTTGAGAGAGAGAGCAAAATTCATCTATGCTCGGTCGATGTAGTAGGAATTGTTATAATAATTACTTTATTTTATGGTGTATATAAATATAAATAATGGAGAAAGAATTTATACCCGCAGAAGGATCGGGATACTGAAAATAAAGAGATGAGAGGAGGAGAGAGATTTCTTATAACTTCTTATTGTTGAAGTATGAATTGTGATTTACAACGAACGAATTCGTTCGTTTATATAGGCAGAAAAAAGTAAATTACTATGCATGCATAGTGACGGTGGGCTCCACACAAATTATATATTACTCGTAATATTCTTCGCGTGTAGCGTCTATTGTTGACGCTTGATATTGTTGATATTTTCTTTTTTGACTTTTGTAATACTCCCCCTTGGAGGCCAGTGTCACTATGTCTCTTGCGTAATATCTTCTGTTGTCTCGTTAAAAACCTTTCTAGGAAAACCCGGTGGGAAAAACCATAGTAGGTAAAAAGAGTACAACCGCGCAAGCTCCCCCTCGAATGATCAGGATCATAACTTACAAGTCTTGTTGACGACGCATTCCAATGTTATGAACATGTTTCCTGAATATAGAGGTGGGTAATGATTTCGTGAAGAGATCCGCAGAATTCTCGGATGATCGGACATATCTTACTTCAATGTCTTTATTCTTCACGAGCTCTTGGGTGTATGAAAAGAACTTTGGAGGGATATGTTTGGTTCTATCGCTTTTGATATATCCTTCCTTTGTCTGAGCAACACATGCAGCATTGTCTTCATACAAGATAGTTGGCTCCGTATTCAGACGAATTCCACTACTCGTTTGAATGTGTCGACTTATTGATCGTAGCCACACACATTCTCTACTCGCTTCATGGAGTGCGATGATTTCAGCATGATTTGAAGAAGTAGCTACAAGTGTCTGCTTCTGAGAACGCCATGATATAGCAGTACCTCCAATCGTGAATACGTATCCTGTTTGGGATCGAGCTTTGTGTGGATCTGATAAATATCCTGCATCTGCAAAACCAATCATTTGACCATTTATATTTTTAGGATAAAATAACCCTAAATCAGTAGTCCCTTGAAGATAACGAAAGACATGTTTAATTCCGTTCCATTGTCTTCGTGTAGGAGATGAACTAAATCTAGCCAAAAGATTGACTGAAAATGATATATCAGGTCGAGTGCAATTTGCAAGATACATAAGAGCTCCAATTGCACTTAGATACGGTACTTCAGGACCGAGTATCTCTTCATTCTCCTCATGCGGTCGAAATGGATCACTCTCAACGTTAAGTGATCTAACGACCATAGGAGTACTCAGAGGAGTTGCCTTATCCATGTTGAATCGTTTTAGCACTCTTTTAGTATACGTGGATTGGTGCACAAATATACCCTTTTGGGAATGTTCAATTTGTAGGCCAAGACAAAACTTTGTTTGTCCGAGATCTTTCATCTCGAATTCCCCTTTTAAATAGTTTGTTGCTTTCTGTATTTCATCTTGAGTCCCAATTATATTTAGATCATCAACATATACCGCGATTATCACAAATCCGGATTTTGTTTTCTTGATGAAAACACATGGGCATATAGGATCGTTCACGTATCCTTCTTTCGTTAAATGTTCACTGAGACGATTATACCACATTCGCCCAGATTGCTTTAACCCATATAATAATCTTTGCAACTTTATTGCACATAACTCTTTGGGTTTAGATTTCAATGCTTCTGGCATATTAAACCCGTCGGGAACTCTCATATAGATATCTGTATCTAATGATCCATACAAATATGCTGTAACAACATCCATGAGACGCATTTCTAAATTTTTATCAGCCGCTAGACTCATCAAGAATCTAAACGTTATTGCATCCATAACGGGGGAATATGTTTCCTCATAATCAATCCCGGGTCTTTGAGAAAATCCTTGAGCTACGAGACGAGCCTTGTATCTCGTAATCTCATTTTCCTCATTTCGTTTTCTAACGAAAACCCACTTGTATCCAACCGGTCTCACATCTTCAGGTGTGAGTACGATAGGTCCGAATACATTTCGCTTATTGAGCGAATCAAGTTCGACTTGTATTGCATCTTTCCATTTTATCCAGTCATGTCTCTTTTGACATTCATATACCGACTTTGGTTCTGGATCCTCGTTTTCCTCATTAATTTCCTTTGACAAAAGGTATGAGAAAACGTCATCAACTTCATCCATTTTATTTCGATCCCAGATCTTTCCATTATGGATATAGTTGATAGAAATCTCATGATTTCCTTCAGGCTCATGATGCTCATCATTGTCATTAGACTCATGATTTGTTTCTTCCAAAATGCTTTCTGCTATTTTGGGAATATCATGCTTTTCAACTTCCTTTCGTTTTCTAGGATTTTTATCCTTAGCACCAACTGGTCTACCACGTTTCAAGCGTGTTTTAGACTCACGTGTATCATCTGCTTTTCCACTTTCTTGTGGAATTTCAATTCGAGCAGGGACATTTGCAGCTGGTATATATGATTTAGTTACCGTTTTGGTATCTGCAAAAGCATCGGGAAGTTGATTTGCTATACTTTGCAAATGCACAATTCGTCGAACTTCTATTTCTGACTGTTTTGTAGGAGGATCAAGGTGTAACAGGGATGGTACACACCATTTGATTTCTTTCCCTACTTGCTTATTTTCTCCCCCTAGAACCGGGAATACTTTCTCATCAAAGTGACAATCGGCAAATCGTGCCGTAAAGACATCACTAGTCTGCGGTTCTAGGTATCTTATAATTGATGGAGAATCACAGCCAATATATATTCCCAACCTTCTTTGTGGTCCCATCTTTGTACGTTGTGGTGGTGCTATAGGCACATACACTGCACAACCAAAAATTCTTAGATGGGATATATTTGGTTCTCGACCAAATGCTAACTGTAGTGGGGAGTATTTATGGTATGCACTTGGTCTTATCCGAATGAGTGCTTCTGCATGCAAAATGGCATGTCCCCATACAGAGGTTGGAAGTTTTGATCTCATGATCAATGGTCTTGCAATCAATTGCAGACGTTTAATTAATGATTCCGCCAAGCCATTTTGTGTATGAACATGAGCTACAGGATGTTCAACTTCAATTCCTGTTACCATACAATAATCATTGAATGCTTGGGATGTGAATTCACCAGCGTTGTCTAGTCTAACTCTCTTAATAGGGTAATCAGAAAACTGAGCTTTTAATTTGATTATTTGAGTTAGAAATCTCGCAAATGCAATATTTCGAGATGATAATAGACAAACATGTGACCATCTGCTGGATGCGTCAATTAATACCATGAAATAGTGGAATGGTCCACATGGTGGATGTATTGGTCCACAAATATCTCCTTGAATTCGTTCAAGGAATTTTGGTGATTCTTTATCAATTTTGGCTGGCGATGGCCTTATGATAAGTTTTCCAAGAGAACATGCAGCACATGTCTTTTTATTCCCATGATATATCTCCTGGATTTTCAATGGGTGTCCATGTGAGCTCTCTATGATTTTTCGCATCATCGAGGTGCCTGGATGACCGAGGCGATCATGCCATAATGTGAAATCTTCTGGATTTCTTTTAATCACTAGATGCGATTCGATTGCACTTATATGAGTATAATGCAATCCTGAAGGAAGTTTTGGAAATTTTTCCAATATAAGCCTTTTTCCCGATTTATCAGAAGTTATGTACATATACTTCTTTTCATTCTCAGTTGCAGACTGAGTATCATATCCTTGAAGGTATATGTCTTTGAAACTCAACAAATTCCTTTTAGATTTTGGAGAATACAAGGCATTTTTTATGGAAAACTTGGTTCCATTAGGCAACATAAAGTTGGCCATACCAGTTCCTTCAATCACGTCTACAGGACCTGATATTGTATTGACAATCATGTTTGTCAGTTTTAAGTTAGAGAAATATCTTTTGTCCTTTAGAATAGTGTGTGTTGTCCCACTATCTGGTATGCAAATTTCTTGAGCCATTTCCTTGGAAATTGTTTCATCCATTTCTGTGATTAAGATAAACATCAATAAAAAGAAAGTAAATTTTATTCATGAAAGGAAAACA